GGGTTTTAGGGTTAAGGGTTTAGTGTTTGGGGTTTAGGGGTTTTAAGGTTTGGGGATTTAGGGTTAAGGGTTTAGGGTTAAGGGGTTTAGGGTTAAGGGTTAAGGGGTCTAGGGTGAAGGGTTTAGGGTGGTTTACGGGTTTTTGGGTTTTTGGGTTTAGGGGTTTCAGGGTTAAGGGTTTAGGGTTTAAGGTAAAGGGTTTAGGTTTAGGGGTTTTTGGGTTTAGGGATCCAGGACTCGGGTGCAAGGTTTGGTTCTTGGCTTTAGAGCGATAGCTTGGTAACTAGAAGAGGGCTTTGCGAGGATGCCGTGGGACTTTAGCACGAAAGACTCACCTCGGACCCCCATGTGGTCGTGGCAGAGTTCCATAGATTACCAGGACCTTTAACAATCAGAATGAATAGGGTTTGAGTGGGTATATTCTAGTGGACACCCCTAAGCCCTAAACCCCACAAAGTTCTATCGAACCCTAGCCATCCCACAATTAGTGATCATCCGGCTCTGCTCAGACAGTTACTGCAGGAGGCTCCCCGAAAGAACCCGGGAATACTCCCCACTCTTAAGCATTCAGGGCTTAGGGTTTAGGTTTTAGGGTTTAGGGCACCATAGGCCCTCTATGAACAGTACTTGGAGGGAGGGAGGCCCTGGCAAGCGTCCACACATGCATGCGAAACCCTGAAACCCTCAACCCCAACACTTTGGAGCGAAGCCCCACCCTCGAACCCGGTACTTGGGCTTGGGTAGGGTTAGGGTTTAGGTTTAGGGTTTAGGGGTTTAGGGTTTACGGTTTAGGCCGACACCCTACAAATCTGGTTCCCTCCAGGAGGGTCCGAACTCGCTGGGGGCTAAATCAAGCTAAGTCCAGTTTAACAGTATTTGACAGTGGTCTATAGATTAAAAATGATCATTTGTTAATCCTCATTAGGGTTTTATTGTAACAACAATGTGAAATTGTGTCCAACAAGGACCTACAAATAATCATGCTTGGGTCCGAACGCCCTCTTCTCCCGGCATGGATCCTCGAGGTAAACCCCTAAACACCGAAACACCCAACTTGGGAGCAACCCCTAGAAACCCCGAGACTCAACACTTCTAGGCGCTTGATTTAGAACCCTAAACCCCCTACACCCCGCAATACCCGGTAACCCAAAACTTTTTTTGTAGTAAACCCTAAAACCCCCTAAACCCCAAAACCCTGAGCCCCTAAACCCTAAGCCCCTAAACTCCTAAACCCTGAACCCCTAACCCCTAAACCCCTGAACCTTAAACCCTAAACCCCTTCACTCAGAGGAACTCCAGCGCCCGGCCCGAGGCAGGACGCCCGAAACACCTGGCCTGGCCCTCTGCCAATGCCTCTGAAAGTCTTATGGTGGTGGCTCTGGCGGGCTTGAGGCTTTAAATCCCTAAACCCTTAAACCCTAAACCGTTTAGGGTTTAGGGTTGCTGGGCTTAGGGTGCCGGGCTTAGGGCCTGCTGGTTTAGGGTTTAGGGCTGGGTTTCGGGTTTGCGGTTGTAGTGCTTACGGGATTTTGCTTGGGGGGTTGAAGACCTTTGGACTTGACATAGGAACCTGAATAATTGGAATGGGGCTTCGGGTATCTCGGGCTACATAAGTAGACAGGCGATATGCGGGAGAGGGACGCTACGAGTAGTTGTTCAGCATTGGTCGTCAACAATGGACCTTCTTGAACTAAGGGACTAAGCTTTAAATTCATGGTTGGCTTAGGGCAATGAAGTTTGGGCTTCGGAATGAACTTAGGGCTTCGGCTGTAGGGTGGCTTCTGAGAGGGGTTTCGCTGTGTCGGCGCCTTCGGGGGGCTGCGCTTCCTTAGGCATCGAACCCGATGCCAGGAACACCGAAACACAGCCCAAACCCGAAGCCGAGCCCAAAAGTAAAGAGAACCAGCTCCCCTAAACCTAGACCCTAAACCCTAAAAGCAAACAGAACCAGCTCGACGGTGTTGGGGAGGGCCCCGGCCCCGGGCCTGGGGGGCCCGAACCTTCCCGGATTCGACCTGCAGAACTTAAGGAACACGCGGCAAGTCCCTGGCCAAAGGACGCCATGCCCAGACCACTCGGAAGCCCCCAAACCGGATCGCATCCCACTGACATGACTCCTCTACCAAAGAACTCCTCGACTTCTTTGGGCCCTTAGTTGGCTGGGGCGCATGAATAACAACCAATCGCTTCTTTCTGCTTGTACACCCCGTAAACCTCGATAGAAACCCTTTTTCATTTTGAGGCACTTAGTACTAGCCGACTCAGACATAGTCGGACATGGTGCTACGGCCACGGCTGCGCGAAAGGCGTCACCGGCAGCGGTCGCATCCTTGTGAAGACATGTAGGGCCGAGGTTTCCGAGTTAGGGCTACAAGGGCTGTAGATGGGCTTAAATCTAGAACCATACACCCTTTAGATGCCGCATACACCCTGAACCCCAAGCCATAAGACCCCAACTCCTGAACCCCCAACTTCCCAACCCTAGACTCCCCCCAAAAACCCGAATAAAACCCTCAGCCTTAAACCCTCAAGCCCTCAACTTCTAAAGCCGTAATACCTAAACCCTAAATCCTAAAGCCCTAAAGCCCTACAACCACAAAACACTAAATTCCGAAACCCTGAAGCCTGATTTTCCTCCATGCAAGCCCTGGCGAGCGACTCAAAGACGTAGAAAATGTCGTAGTAGGGTTGAGTTTTAGGGGTTTAGTCCTTCACAGGACTGGGATTTGGGTTTTGGACTATGCTTGAGGCGTTTACATGGAACGGCGGTTGTGGTTTGGGCTCTTGGGCAGCTCCAAGCACACAGCCCTGCACGTTGAAACCACCCAAGCCGCCATGTCTGAGTTAGGTAAAGTCTCGGGTATAGGGCGTTTGAAGCTGGGTTTTCCATAAAGGTTTAGGGTTTCGGGGTTCAGGGTTTAAGGGTTTAGGCTTTATTATATGTTGCTCGGCTCATAACACACCATGAGCCCTACAGACCCTAGGCCTGGCATGTTGAAGGTTTCGGGCTGGGGCTCGGTCAACGCGGGCGCAAGTTTCCTCACGACACGTGAACCTTGCAGTCCTAAACTCCGCACAAGTCGAAACAAACTCGCTAGTTCAATTCTTCCATCCACACAAACCCACTTTGATTTCACTTCTTGCATGGCACATGGCAAAGAACTGACTTGCTGGCTGACACAACTGGTTTTGATCATCAGAGTCACAGGTACCTGTATACTGGGTATCTGCCCCCCGGCTTGTCCCTGTTATCATGAACTACTCAAACTGTCATTGCGGCCAAACGTTTTCATCTAAGCTTACCTCCCCAACTATATTCTTGACAAATGCCATCCGTCGTCATTGCTGTTCCCACTGCAAGCATTTTCGTTCAAAATCCCAGCCAGAACCATGGCAATGCATCAACATCGTCATCACCATCATGACAGAAATGCAAGACCATCATCATCATCATCATCATCCGCATCTTCATCACCATCCCCGTCCTCTACATGCCGGCCACCACATTTGCATTACCGTCATCATCGTCACCACAATCATCAAGCCGGTGAGCTGCAGAAGTACGCGGAGTGGCGCAGCAGCGACCTCTGTCTTAAATTAGGTGCCCAGGAAGACCCCTAACTTACAGTTGGCTGACGTGCCATGGCTCCTGTTCCGACAAAAGCGGCTACATCATGCATGCGCAAACGAACCGCCATGCGCAGATGTGTTCCCCACCCCATTGAACCGCCACAGCTTTAGGGCCTTTAGGGCAAGTCGTGACAATTTCACATCCAGATTCCGGAAACGCGGCATGGCAACCGTCCCGAGCTCCTCGCAGGAGCCAAATAGTAACAGCCCTCCGGAGCAAGGCCCGCGAGCGCTGAGGCTCTTAGTAAAGTTGAATGCGAAAGGTTGTTTAGAAGTCTAAACCCGGAGTTCAGCTTTGTGATCTTCGAATCCCCTCCAAGACCTAAACCCCCAAACCCTAAACCACCCTAAGCCTCTAAACCCTAACCCCAAAACTAAAACATCCCCAAAACCGTCCTGTCTAGGAGCCCTCTTCCTACCCACGCCCAAAGCCCTGAAGCGGACATGTGTTTGAAAAAACCCAGAGCACTTGTACAGGGACTTTAATGATTAGAATATCATTGTTCTATAATGAAAATTTGGAATCCATTTTCCGAAAATCTCTGAAACCAACCCGAAAAGCTGTATGCACTCCAAGCTCAAAACTTGGGAGCTTTCCAAATCAAATAGTTTGCAGAACCTTCAAGCCTCAACGTGACAAAACACATAGTCATAAGGACAAAGAGGGGGGTAGGGGGAGGGGGGTAAGGGGCCGTAATACCTATAACAATAAATAAGGACCTCATAAGGCCTATTTAGGAAGTCATCATCTCTGCTCATTGTCCTCATTTAAATCTGCTACACCCATGCCAAACAGTAAGGCTTTAACTACACGCCGCCCAATACATGGATGACATTTGATGGAACCCTAAACCCTAGCCCCTTAACCCTAAATGCCAAGCTGCTAGACCCCAGACCCAAGAACAGCCCTGGGTGCAGCTGAGACACCACGACGCGACCTCCCGGCACCGCAAGAGCCGGTGCATCAATCTTTTGACCCTGTGACTTTTTGGTTTACTTCGAGGGACTATAGTAGGGGATCTTCGTTTTCGCATTCTGTAATCTTTTTGGGGTTGCTTCAACGAACTGCCTTGCACACTGAATTGAACCCTAACCCCAGAGATTCTGTGTGAACGACGCTTCGGTCTCTTTAAGTCTACAGGCTTAGCGTCCGCTGAGCCCCAAAGGACTATGGTATACTATGGTTGATAATCGCCATCAGACAGTCAGTTGGCGAAACTGCTACAGAACCATATCGTTTTACCACTCCAAAGGCCTGAACTTCCCGGCTGAATCCCCGATTCTGAATGACAAACAATATTGAAAGAGCTTGTGCTGGAATCTCATGTCCGGGGCTTTCGTTTCATAATGCTTACAGATTTGAAGGTCAGCGGGGGCCAATAGCCAGGGACACCAGTGCCCCTCGACGATGGGCACGCCATGGGCCGCAAAAGCACCCCTGCATCCAGGAGGTCATGAGACGGCAGACTCCCAGTGTGTGGAGTTGGAGGTGCCCTTCAAGATGGGCCACTGCGCATTAATCTGTAGCGGTGTAAAGAACAGAATTTCCCCAAGTGGCATGGACTTCGCCACCGAGGTCAAGAGGACCTGCGGACCGTTCTGAGCAGCTGCAGCAGAAGCCGCAATCAAGAGAGAGAGTTAAAACACTTGCGTCGAAACACTGCATGTTGATGAGCTTCATTGGGAGGTTGGTCGCCAAGATGGCTGCAAACGAAGGTGGTTGGTGTTGGAAGCGCTGGTTTCGTGGCCCAGAACAACGTCGTGGTTGTTTTACGCAAGCTGGAAGCACGTGTACATGTGCTGATGGAGGCCATGCGCTCGGGCACGCGGTTCATCGTCGCTCCGACTGGAGGCTTGAAGAACATTGTGGAAGATGACTTCACCGATCTCTGGACGGATGGTAAGATGACCGTCGAGGCGCTTGTGGAGCAAGAGTTTTCTCGAAAAAGTAGAAAGTGACCCCCGCCAAGCACAGTAAGCTCGGATGGTTGTGACTTGTTTCTCAATGCATTGTGGAAATCATCTACTTTGCCACTTTGCTATCGCTGCAGCTCCCTGCGAACTGATCTCCTGTTAGTTGTTTGCTCGGCCTGCGTGTCTGTATAAGCGCTGTCCTTTTAGACGACACATATGTCCGAGCGGGAATGGTATATTCAAAGCAACCATGTGGGGTGTGGTCGGGTTTGGTCTTGCCGTTCGCCTCCCTCGGCCCCTGGAGGAATAGGCTCAGGACTTTCAATGCATGGTAGCCGGTTGTTTACGGGTTCTGCTGCGCATAGTAGAACCCTTTTTTATTTTTGTTAGCGCTTTAACTGACGCTATGTTCATACTACGGAGTCGCATAGGACTTAGCCAGTTATAAGTATACTTATAAGTTTGATAACTCGTCTGCTAAGTGGCTTAAGTGTCATTATAAGTTATGTAAGTTCTTGCTAACTTATGTTTTGAAACGCATAAGTTAGCGGACAGTTAGGCAAGTTAGCAAGCAGTTAGGGTAGAGCACTGAAAAAAGTTAGCAAGAAGTTAGCATAGTTAGCGATTTTGCTAAATTTTACAAGCTTGATGCAGGACAATAGATTTTTCAAGCAGTTTTTAACCGTTTCCGGTTTTTTGAGTTAGATGTCCCGAACGGGCCTGAGAGGCACCTCGGCTCTGCTGCGACAACTGGAGTGAAGTCCGAAGCGACTTGCAGTCTTGACTCCACCTAAAATGCAGCTTTTGTTGCCCTGCCACCAGACAAAAAAACTGCAATTCGGCTCGAAGCCTGTGTCCGCCAGGTGTCCGCCTGTGTCCGCCGGCAATCAGACTCCAGATTTGGGTGTCCGCCGAACGTGTCCGCCGCAACCCTAAATAGCCGTTTCTGGGTAGTCCTCCGTGTCCGCCTGTGTCCGCCCGCATAAAACAACAGCCCTCTCTAAGGGACCACATGTCCGCCGGTGTCCGCCGCCCCACCTATATACCTCCCGCGGTCAGCCGGTCATGTGTCCGCCGGGGATTGTGCCGATTCGCTTCGTTTTGCTGCTTTGTCGCAGTCGCCGCTCTTGCTGCAGCAGCCTTCGTTGTTCAAGCTGGGCCTCCTGTTTCTTTGCTCCTTGTGCTCCTGCCGAGCCATGGCTTAGTGGCATTGGCGTGTGCTGAGGATAAAACGAGTCCTTCTCCATGTGACTGGTTTCATGGCGAGCTCCGGTTGATTTACATGCCAAATCCAGCAAAATTGTAAAATGTCGACGACTGCAAAAAAACATAGAAAGAGTTAGCGACAAATTGATTAACTTATAAGTATACTTATAAGTTGGTCTCTAACTGCATTCTAACTTATGTCCTAACTTCTTGCTAACTGGCTAAGTTGCCGGCGTCTCCATAGTAGGCTTTGCATGTTTGAGCTTTGAGCGCTGGAGATACGGCTTTTGGCTCTCGGCTCCTCGCGCACGCCACGGGAAGGTCGGGTTTCTGCGCAGATCCCATAAATCGGCGCTATGCAGACACCCCCCCGCCCGGGCTTCCACAACTCATATTTTGCTAGAGGTACGTGCGCTTTCGGACTTCGCACCTGCTGAAGAAGAAGAAGATTATGGCTCAGCACTTGGGATTTCTTTTTGGGATGTCTTTTCATATAGTAATGGTCCGTAATCGCGGGGTTGATGAGCTTCACAAGGATAAATGTGCTGCTTTAGGCACTGTACCCACAGAGCCCCAAACCCCTCAACTAAGCAATATATACCTTAGAGATAATATTAAGGCCCTAAAGTTTATCGTGTATTCCTTAACGAAGGGTAGTGGACTCTCTGGGTAGGGCTGGGATGAACTCTCACTACACTTAGCCACACGAAGATCACGATCTGACAAGGCCCCGTCTTCTTTCACGAACTGATACCTTAGTGCCCTGATCCCTACGAGATCCCTAAGACCCCAAACCGCAACACCCTAACAACCTAGACCACAAAACCCCCAAAACCCTAACACACCAGGCCCTATAACCCTCAAGCGCTAAGACCCTAAACTCCAACATCCTACCACCCTAAACTTCGCCCCCCGAAACCCGATTAACCATTATAGAACTCTTGAAGCAAACCCTAAACCCTAAGATTTTACTAACCCTACCACCTTACTAAACTGAAACTTCAGAATCCTCCCTCGCCTCGCCTCTGCCACAAACAAGGCTCCCCTCTCCCCCAGCGTGACTAGCCTGACTTGTTAGGGTGTCGAGCTCTAGGACACACGGCTTGTGTAAGAGGTCCAGTGTGGTTTAGTGGTTTGAAGATTGAACTTCCGGTCCGAAGATGTACTTAGAGGATACCGGGACTTACTTAGTGGGTTACAAGTGGGTAGTTCTCCAAAGTAGGGTCCTTTTTTTATAGGGTTGCCATACTATTTTGGGGACCTAGAAAGGGACCCTAACTTTACAGAACTCCCCAAGTAGAGCTATGAGTACCGGAACTGGGGCCATCCTTGCTCAGAACTCGACATGTGCCCGAAATCCAAGGGTTTAGGGTTTAAGGGTTTAGGGGTTTAGGGTTTAGGGGTTTAGGGTTTAGGGTTTACGTCAACCCGAGACCCCAAGTGGTCTTCGTTGTAGTTCCTCTTTGGGGGGTAACCTTAAGGGATGCTAATTGCCCATAGGCTCCGTTCTAGTTCCCGTTGGGGTTACCTTATAGGAGCCTAAGTATAAGTCACAAAAAGGAACTACAATGAGCCAAACACGGAAACTACAACGGAGACTATGGGTAGGGATCTTTTTGACACAGTCTTGCAACCTGTGCAGGATACCCGAAAGGGTTTTGGGTTTAGGGCGAAAGGGTATCCCTATTGGATTGTAAGTCAAGGGCTTTTCAGGGTTCAGGGCCCCCGAGGGTTATCCGGAGGTTCCAAAGTAAGGCCTTATAGGGTCTGAAAAGTGCTTGAGGTGCTGGTATCAGCTTGACAATAAGGATACCAAACTTCCATCAAAGTCCGTCATAGTAAGGAAACCCCAACGTACAGGGCTTAAGGATACTACTGGGCGACCTAGAATCTAGAAAGTAAGAGCAGATACTCTGCCGTCCTCTGGAAAAGATCTGCCAGAGGAGGACGCTCGTCTTTGTGCCCCGGACGCAGGATTTGTTGGCGTGACTGTCGGCAACAGCTACCCGAACGAGACTGCAGAACACCCCAGCCCTTAAACTTAAAACCTAAACCTAAAACCCTAAACCCTACACTGTTACACCCTTAAACCCTAAACCCTTGAACTCTAAAACCTAAAACTCTAAACCCTAGACAAAAAAAAACCCTAAACCCTAAACCCTAAAACCCAACACCTTACACCCTAAACCATACAACCCCTACACCCCCAGTTCCCCTAAAGCCCTCAACCCCCGGGCTGCACAAGTGGACTTCCTCCACTCGAAGCTTTCAGCCTCAAATGAAATTTTGTAGTCCCTTTTCGGTCCCCCTTTTAGGGGTATAGGGTTTAGGGTTTTAGGGAAACCTTTTCAGCCTCAAATCAAATTGATAGTCCCTTTTTAGGTCCCTTTTTAGCAGGGTGCCGTACTATTTTGGGGGCCTAAGAAGGGAGCCCCAAATTTCGAGAGCTCCCCACGTCGCATACCACACCCGCAGCCGAACGTCCAAACAGCGCACGCCTCCCAGAAATCTAAAGCCCTACAAGTTCACCAACCAAGATAAACCCTAATAGGGCGACTCTAGGCGCTAGACACTCAGGTTTATTGTGCCGTTCGGGGCTCTGAATTTCCCGAAAGCCTATACTGCAACGGCTTTAAATAACCCTAAACCCTAAACCCCCAAACCCTAAACCCCCAAAACCTAAACCCTAAACAGTATCAGGTTTTGAGAGCCGACTTTGGTATGACTTTCAGTAAGTGGCCTTTTCTACTCTGCAGGGTTTAGGGTTGAGGGTTTAGGGGTTTAGGGGTTTAGGGTTTAGGTTTTTTAGGGTTTATATAGGGTTTTGTTACTACGCTAAAGAAGACACACACTCAACCTGAAGTTCCCACCCGCACCATGGCGACCCTGAGCCCACAACCCTGAAGCCTAAATCCTAAAAACCAAGCCAGGTCACACGGCAGCAGCACCTCGTGCAAGCAGTGCTTGCGCAGCTGCTAGAACGTCGGCCCTGACCGTGGAATGGAAAGGGGACGATGAGTTTAGGGTTTATAGGGTTTATAGGCATTTATAGGTCCTTTTGCCGGGGCTAGAATATTGGGCTTACGGGTGCCGCAACTGCGCGTCTTTTTGCTAGCATGAGACTCAGGTTCCTGATGTTTCCCTTGTAACGCAGCAAGATTCCTTTTGCCTATCCAACAATCTGAAAAATATTGCCCGAAAGCCAAATCCTTGGGGGGAATGTTTTGATGAAGTCCATAAACCTACCTGCACTCCAGATATCTGAGAGTTGTAGACCTCTAATCCCAGACCTAAACCCCAAACCCTGGATCGTATAGGGTCGTAGGCTAGGGCTTCGGGTTAATTAGATGGTATATTTACATACGGACCCAACGAGGGCATTGCCAATGATTCAGACCTCTATAGTATCCCAAACCTATCAAAGTTAACCATAAAAGCCCACAGCTCGAGGGTTTACGATCTACGTCAAAAGCCCTAAACCCTGAACCCTAAACCCTGCGAACCAAACAGTCTAACATCGAAGCGGTGGTTAGGCTTGAGGGCTAGAACGGTTTAGGGTTGTCTCAACATGCGGCTGAGGTCCTTGTGGTAAGACCATACTACTTGCGGTCTAGTTTAGGGCTCTTGATGTCTGAACAACCCTAAACCCTTAACCAAAAACCCTACTTTTCCAGCCCTAGATTAAACCCTAAACCCTAAGCCTTGGCACCTCGTCGATGTCGAAAGGCCCGTGAGTCTTTGCAGCTCTGACTCATTTGGGCAGAAGACCTTACTTACTGCTTTAATAGGGTTTAGGGTCCAGGGCAACCGACAGAAACTCCTAAGCCGCTTAATGGGTG